GCCGCTGCCAAATCCCGCGTGATACGAGATAAACAGCGCGTAATAACAAAGTATAACCGGATAACGACGGCATAATAATGCGAGTTAACGAAGTGAGCGGGGCCACGAAATTCTCTTTTCAGACATGCGATCGTGAGAAGAGCATAAAATGAAAGGCTAATATCTCGTCGGGCATTATTGTAAACCGATGCGGGGAGCCGGCCACAACAAAGTTGTACTTTTACTCTGTAATTACACGGGCGCGGCAATTTGTATATCATTAAAGTTATACTACGCTATTGGGAATAAAAAAGTTCCGCACGAATCTCGACCGGATATATCCTTAATAAATTCTAATTAACCGGCGAGTAATGATCGAGAGAGAAATATCAAAGAGATGAAAGTCGGATTCTGTCTTTATATAGCCCTTTCCTAATTTGATTTTTCTCTTTCTCTCTCTATCTTGGGGATATCGCCTAATTACTGGTTCATGAAAGCAAGAGGAGTGGCGAGAATTAGCGAAGCGCTCACATTCGCAATTGAGCCAGCTCGTCGATCTCTCGCGTCACTCCTCCGCCAAGAGTCCGCGTCGATTCCCTCGCGATAACAATGGCCGCGAACAGCGCAAAAAGAGGGCGGCGTGAATGAAAGCGAGAGAAAGAGAGAGAGAGAAAGAGAGAAACAGAGAACCGACAGAGCACGATCCTGAAAATCGATATCGCGGATGCCGAGGCGCTTCCGTGTCGACGGTCGTAATTATATGCCGCGGTGCACGATATACCGCGTTGCACGATTCCCATTATTGCCATCACGGTAGTGTAACTTATTGTTAGCGAACAGAGCACACGATGCTCGAGCGTAGATAGAGCGATGCCGCTGAATGACGGAACGATCGCGACCAGTTTAACCATTTTAGTATGTGCGCGATCGCACACATACATACATATATATATACACTCACATACATACATATATATATATATACACTCTAAAATGCACTCTAAAAAGCGTGGTCTCCCTCTTCGAGTCTAATAATCCAACGAAAAAAAGATCTGGAGAAAAACTGTGATCGTAATTTTTTCTCAAGCTCTACTTTATTTTTATATATTTCTTGAAATTATGATAATTTCTGTAAACGTTTAAACGTTTTTTGAACGATGTTGCGATGTAGATCCTTTACGATTTATTCTACAGAGTGTATGTTATTACTGTTCCTTATCAGCACCGATGATGATTTCAAGGAGACAAGAGAGAGATCACTGGCAAATATTAAGTAATTAAAGAGCTATCGAGATATAATTAATCCGCAATTAAAATTGTAGATTTTACGACTCGCCCCATTCCATCTATGGCGAGTCACGTTATAAATAGAGTATAAACATCAATTATCGCATATGCTTAGAAATCATCGGTACAAGGTAGTAATTATCTTACGGCATGGACGCGCACTTGTTCGTAAACCATAACAAATTTCGTAACGCCATTTAGATAATTATACATAATTACTACACTTATGTACATGTTAATCATTCGTTTCCAACGGTATAACCGGATCTCCTACTCCATTTACGCGATATACGTATGTAGATTGCGAATAATTGAACGGCTCATCGTCAACGCGTTCTAACCTACATTTAATCTCATATATTGAATGTGAGGGAAGACATTTTTTTCCCGTGTGTGCGATATGCATTCCAATGAGGTGAATGCTGGAGGATACTTTGTTGCAAATATATTAAAATATATTAACAAATCAAATATGATCAAGGTATCTTGAGTAATCGAAGCGTTAGATGTTGCTTAAGTTTCACCGCTCAATACTTGTATTCTAACGAATTCATAAGACTTGGATAATCTTATTGGATCCCGAGAGATGTGTTGCAACGAGAGGTACGGATTATATCGAAATAACACGGCGCAAAGTTTCTCCTCAAATTACTTCACGTCCCAATGAATCAATCAAGAACGCGGTATTTATAAAGTGACGGTACCGCGTTACTCATCAGCACGATTTATGCAAATTCTTGACTCTATTGGAAAGAAAAAAGAGAGAGAGAGAGAGAGAGGTCTCGGTATAATATTTTTATTTATTTTTTTTCCCCCGAGAATCGGCGAAGCTGCGCCTCCGTGTCCGGAATACATGGAGGCTTCGACTTTGACGTTGCGGCAAATAATAATGCAATTTACAGCATTCACTCGCTTACAACGGATCCTCCGCGGCTGCGGCGGTCGATGCGGGCAGACCTACCCGTATTATTGCTGCACCTGCGCGACCCTCGGTGCACTTTACGTGCTCGCCGTTTTTATCGAGCATTATTTATTTCCATCTTCCTCTTTTTGGAGAACGCGCGATGCGCGGCGCCGTCGCACATGTATCATCCCGAATCGAAGTTTTGCACCGATTTTAATGTCAACTTTTTCACCTCTATCGATTCTCAAAGATTTCAATAGGAATCTTAATTTATTTGAGCTCCTACTTTGAATTTTAAATTGACAGTAAACGAATAGTTTCCCACTTGGAGGAGCTTTCAACCAAGCTATAAATTAAATAGTTTCAAAAGAGAGTTTGATCTGACTGCTTAAAATATCAAAGTAAATCTTTGATCAGAAATTGAGATTGAAAATAGGAAACGAGAATTTCGACTCGGAATTCCATTTACGGAGAACAAAATTGTAATATCCGTACCGGATGTCCGAGAAGCGTCGCGTACTTCCAGTATCGCGACAAGTTTTACAGAATCGATCTTTTTGCGGGAAGGCAATTTTTGAATTTTTGAAATTATAAAAAAGATGAACAAAACTATCTCGAGTCAGATTTTACTTTTTCTTTATATTCCTTGAATATAACATTATTATAATCTGTTTGTGTGTTGACATTCCGCGATTTGCATTACACGCAACTGGAATTATACATTTTTCCTTCATATTTTAAATTCTAACAAATTAAACGGTATCGTTAATAAAATCGTTCAAACGATTTCCGATAAATTCACCAGCAAAATTCCGGACAGGATCAAGCGGAGGAAAAACTCAAATGGAAAGCGCGGCTGAATATTCATCGCGGACGAACTAGAATCTTAATTACCGCCTATCTAATTTAACTCGACAAGCGACACATAATATATCTTTATAATGCCGTATCGTCCAACGTTTTGCTAACATTAATGTTATCCCGCATATTCAACAGTGTATTTTAATATCGTATTTACCGAGCGATTGCTACAAACATGGATTTATGCGAGCGCTAAGATCGCAGTATCGTCATACTTTTTTGTATAAATTTTGTAAATGTTTGCGTGTTTTCTCGATCTATTTTTAAACGATATCCAGTGCTGAAACTTGATTTCAATCTTTTGTATGTAGCATTAATCACATTCGAGTATTACGACGAATACATAAAAGGCTATAAATATTGTGGAGTTTTTTTTAAACTGATATTATTTCGTAGAAAAATGATTATGAAGTTTATTAAGATAGTAAAACACGTTTACAGTTCCAACGGTACAGTTCTTTACAGAGTACGTGTATTAAAATTATATTGATTATCTATTTTTATGTACGAAGAGCGGAATAAATCCTATTAACGAGATAACGTTGACATAGTTGAAATTATTAAAGTTGAAAACCGGGCGGGAACTCGTTTTCAGTCAACGTTCGAGCAAACATGTATTTACATTTATACTTCAAATATCTTTTTATTATTAATTTGCAAATACTTTTTTGTTATTCTAGTTATTCACAGTCGACGAAATGCGTGTAATCCAACGGAAATATAAATAGTTGGAGAGCATTTATTCGATATATATATGTATATCGATTTATATATATCAATCTGTCTGAGATTACTGACTTAAGAGAGACGCAGGAATTTCTACTTATGTGCTCGTTTATTTTACCCCTAATAACTTCCTACACGTAAAATTACATCGCGAAGATTCTTAATTATTATTCCGTTCGGAAAAACCACGAACACGCGTGTGTCGATCATCACCATAAAAATAGCTCGGATGCGATGATTTCATTAAGTCAAAAATATCGATATCGATGAGAAAGAGACCTATCGTTCATAAATCACCGATTGCAAAGTTCTCGCTTTTACCGTAAAACTTTCGATATAATTAGATCGATACGCGAGTAATTAATTAATTAATCTTCTATCTTTTACAAAGGAATGCAGTGAAGTAATGTAATGTTATATTCGTATTCAAAATTCTTTCCATTCGCGTTTCATTTGCATCGATTAATCGCATATTTTCTACGCACAATTCGTTGCAGAGAGCTAATAAATTAAAGGGCGCCCATGTATATGGGAGGGGGAGGGGGAAGAGGATTTTAGTGCGTATTCTGGTCAAAACAAATTTAACGCTAAATGCGTCAACTTCTGGGCATCGTTTCACATATAACTGTCGTAGTTTTCGTATCGACGTTGATTCTCGTATTAGAGAAATCAGAATTCGATGATCGCATTTAACGCCATGTGACAGCATTAGAATGCGGGACCCTTTTCCATCGTCGCGTCACGCGCTCGAGCGACGGCCGTCGCTGAGTTTCCGCGCCTCGCTCGGTTCAGCCTCTCTAGCCTGCCTACGATGAAGGCAGGTGAGCGTCTCTCTAAGGCGATCTCGCTTTCTTCGGGCGAACTCGCGCAAATGTTAATTGTGCGCTATTATTGGCAACGACCGGTCGCGTAGAATTCCGCTTCTTCGAAGAACCGGCGATCGGTTCTCGTTCCGAGAGAGACAGGGACTCTCGTCTCTCCTCGCGAAGCAAGTTGCTTACATAAAGGCACGATTACAGGCAATAAATGGAAAATGCAACAAACACATCGAACCTCTGTTTGTATCTGGTATGTTTACAAAACATATTTATGACGATAAATCTACGTCGGTTTTGAGTAAATACAAAACAGATTCCTCTGTGTCATCTTTCGTTCGCTAAATTATTCGACATGTATCGAAAAATTCTGAGTTTCAATATTGATTACATCGGCACGATTTGTAATAATTGTTTCAGTGACTTACCTGGGACGCCGACGGATACGAGTATCCGAATTGCGCGTACGCTGACATGTCTGGAATTTACGCGCGTAGACGTGCAGCTCTCTCCCCTTTGCTCTCCCCGAATATACGCGAAACGGGGCACAATCTTGCACCTGCACGCACTGCACTCTCTCTCTCTCTCTCTCTCTCGCCCTCTATCGCTCTCCCTCTCTCTTTTTCTCTCTTCTTCACTGTGTCTCTATATGTCGCGCGACAATGTCGTTAAACGGAAAAACGAGACGGCATCAAAGATCTGGCATCAGGCTGCGCCAAAGTCCTGGTCGGCCGTGACCGACCTCATGACGCACGTTTTTCTCCAGCAATCACACGATTCATCAATGAGACGTCATCGCGCACTTCAATCCCGAGTTCCTGCTTGACGTTTGCGAAACGTGGCGCGAGATCAGCGGCAACGCGCGACCGAGCTTCCTCTCGTCGCGACAACACGGAGCGGCTCGCGGTTCTTGACGAAGCGGCGCGTCATGAAAACAGCTGGCACGGAACGTGACACCGGGACGCGATATCGGGACGACGACACCGGGAGAGAAACGGGACGGACATTCGGATAGACGGACATTCGTTTCGCGCGAGCGAAGCGTTCGCGAGCGCGTTCAGAATATATAGAAGCGTACAAGTCCTCGTTCGTTCGTTCGGTCCGTCCCCTGCTCTCACAGGGCACTCCAGTCTGCGACTGACTCGGCAACACTCACACCACTTCAGCGAGCTCCTCCGGCTCCGCGCTCTCTCTGTCGCGGCTCCCCCTCTGGCGAGGAAAACCGAAAGCATCGGGTATCCCCACCAAGAATCATGGGTGGCGACTGGAATGGAACGGAGCAATCGCGGGATCGTTCGCTTGTCCAAGGGCGGGATCTATGGGCCGCCCGGCCGTCCAGGATTGGTCGTGAAAGTTATTTTTTGAACGTATCCATCGACGTCGCGACGCCTTTCATCCCCTCCTGCCCCACCACTCGCCAAGGGTGGAAGTATCGTCGAACGATCGGCGTCGCGACGCCCTGTCTCGATGCGGGATGCTGCACGATCGCAGCTGAACAAGGAAAAACGAGTATGTTTACGCGGCTCTACTCTTGTCAACTCGACGGCGAGGGACTTGAATAAATCCGCGTTTCTCCGTCTCTCCCCCTTCTTCTCACCCCAGCTCGCGCGCGAGGAGGAGCGGACTTCTTTCGGCCGATATATCGCGTCCAGGCCCGAGATCGTAAAATACGCGCGATTGTCAAATGTCAGCGCGATAAAGTTCCCCTTCAAAGCGCAGCGAGCTGTCTCGAATCTTAAGAAAAATAAATTTTCGAAAATCCAATTTAAGTTGGAAGAAAATACATTAATGTAACTATAATTCCGAATATATTTTTCAAAATTCCTGGCAGCGAATTTTATATTATAAATAATATATCTCCGATATACATATATATACACACACATATCATAATGAAAAATTTACTAATTAAAATTTTTATCATGTATATTGCGCTTTCGGAAAAAAGTTTTACATAGGGGATATCAATAGACAAAGCATGGTCATCCTATACAGTATCGTACATTTCTGGAGCCAGTGTATAAGCCAAACATTTGTTCTGCCATTTGTTGGCCTATTGTTCTCCCATTGAAAATTTCACGAGCGATGGACGAGAAGATTAGCCCGTGGGATTTACCCCGTACCGTGCAACTTGAATAATTTCACGGGTTATTAGGTCGTACCAATGGGCCGAAACCATTAAACGCGCATGAAATACTTATCCGCAAAATTAGCGTAAGAGATTGCTGTGTTCGTTCATACGCAAAAATTTTTATCGTCCAGGAACGTGATTCGATAAGCGATTGCCTTTCATTCTACGATAAAAACCGAATATAATTTACCAAATCATTAAATTGTACATACATTAAATAATACTATTGATTTAAAAATCAGAAAGAGAAATATCTAATCAATATTATATATTGACAAGTTTTGAACAAGCTGGCTTATTACGAAGGAAATGATCTAAGGTCCGTTTCCTTCAAGATAAAAATATTTGCTGAACAAGAACAAAATCGGATAAAAATGGTAGGCGGGCTGTCACGAGACAACGAGAAGGATACTAGTTACAATGCAATAAGTTCCGCCGCTACTAATAGGATTAACTGACAGGTTGACGAGGTGCTCAAGACGAGATAAACATCCCTCAGAGGATCTTGTACCTGCACCTCGGGGTACCTCGAGGAAACGAGCCCCACCCGATGATTTATTGTTCTGCGTAAACCTGGTGACCTGCCGATCGTATCCGTGAACGAACATAATCGGAGCCATAATACAAACGTTTTTGTAAAAACTTGTCTCAAAACCGCAGATTTTGTTACACTAGGGAGGCTCAACTCCTGCCACAATTCTTTCTAAGGAGTCACGCGCAACATCCGAACATACATAATCTGCGTTTAATCCTCTCCGGAAAATCATCGCTAAATGGAAAAATCACACAAAACATTATATTCGCAGCGCACGTGTAAAGCTTAAGGATTTCCGATTTTTCGGAAGTTTCTTATTTTTCGAAATATATTTATAATATAGATTTTTAGGAATGTATTTTATAAAGCACAATTATATATATATTAGGATTTTATTTAACTATCACACCCATGACTTTCAAACCTTGCACATATCCCGAGTTAATATTTTTCTCTCTATTTTCAATCTAACATTTATTTTGATACTTTTACCCGAGTCGAAAATTTTCTTCGCCTTTCAACATCTACTTTGATACTTTAAACAGCCAAATCATCCTATTTTGAAACTATTTAATCTATAGTTTTGTCGAAAGCTTCTCTCTTTTAAACCTCTAAATGGGAAACTCTTCGTTTATTGTATATTAGAGATGTGTAAAGTGAAAGTTAAATTCCTATATAAATTAAACCTACTGTAATCTTCTAGAAACCATCCATAAACTTGAAAAAATTTAGATTGAAAATAGAAGCGAAATTTCGATGTGTTGTTTTCTCGAAATATTACAGTTTCTTTTTTGGACAAAAATAATGAAATTTTTTTAAGTAGAAGACAACGCATACAAGAAATCTAAAAGAAATTTTTTTTCACAATTCGCATAATATTGAAAGTTTTTTTTGATTGAAACAAAGAAATCAAATAAATTTTTAACTTATAAATATGACTATCGTTTAAACTATAACAGAAAATATTGCATGGAAACAAAATATGGCAATACCTTAGAGAATTGATTTTTCACTTTTTTATATATTTTTTAATAATTAACAAAAAAATGAAATTTATTAATCTCTTATTCGTAGTTCGTAAACAATAAAAGAATAAAACGTATTTTATGTAAAATTTCAGCTCGATTGATTTATTTGTTTTCAAGACATTTTATGATATAGTTTCGAAATAAACGAGTCAAAAGTTTTGCATCAACGTTACTGACAGATAAAGAAAAAAAAAAGAAAAGTTTATATATCACTTAAAAAAAAAATACAATGGATAAGAGAGAAATCGGTTTCTTTTTTTCTTAGAAAAATCGAAAATTCCTCTGTAAAGGCTTTTCACGCACAGGTCAAATATCATATTCCCCAAGTAATCCTTTACAGAATGTAAATAAAATGGTACGACGATAAATAAGGTATGACGGGTACAAAAAAGCAGTGTAATAAGATCTTATTAATGTCAGATGTTTGAAAAATGATTTATGATTTACATTCATCAAAATAGAAAAAAAGTGAATTATATTGAAATTTAAAATTTAAAATAGAACACACGAGTTTATAGAGAGAAACTTTACTTTAATTTGTAACACAGATATTTTTGTGAATAAAAAATATTTTAACAGCAAAAAGATATTTCCCGTTCGGACTATGCAATACGTAACAATACTATTCGTGACGAACATCGAATAATTAAATGAGAAGAATGACGCGACGGATGCGGAGATGACAAAATGAAATGTGGCGGCAGCTGGTACGCAATGTGAAAATATCACTCGGATGTTGAACGTCCATTTGTTTCATTGTTGGACGTAACATTTATGATTACGGGAAAACGAAACGCGCGGGGCGCTCGCGGTTCGTCAGTTTTTATCGTTACCCTGTTATACTATCACGTATGATTCATAGATAAAAGAAATGATATCATCGCGGGAACAGAGGGCCATTTTCCGCAACATTTTATAGTGTAATTATTTTACGAGTTGCAGCCGGATTTTTGTTTCGCGACGCAATTTTCGATTCTTAGACCAGCTGATTATTTAACATAATGAAAAAAAGGCTTTCGTATATTGGATATTGATATCCGTAAAAATTAGAAAAATATTCGATTTCTATGCCTGCACGATTCACGCTTCTAACTGGACAGCGCCCGTTATAAATCTCGGCTGGAATATCCGCGCCTAAGCTACGCCAGGTCGTTTGCTGTTTACAGCCGTCAAGTTTTTCGAGTGTGATAAAGCCAAGATTTCTACCAGAAGAAGGGACTGTCGGGTCCTATCTCGCCGGTCGGTGTGTGTTCATTACTTGTTCGCGGGTCGAGTAAAAGTTAAACGACCGTGTCGCGCTCGAGCTGTCCCTCTTTGGCGATAAGGATGCTTAATAAGGCACCAAACTGTCCACCTTTCTTCCTACTTCCTCGCTTTCGTTTCTCCCTTTATATTCCTACATCGACCCACACAAGTTTCGTATCTTTTTTTTTCAAATTTTTCACTTCTTCGAAATAGTTTCAACAATAAATAACGCAAGGTTGTTTAAGCGAGAAACTGAATCCTTTTTGTTAGATAGAACTTTCTTTTTTAATGCGCATCTCTCTCTAAATCCATTCATCTTATTATATTATACTATTGTAATACCTCGGCTAGCTTTTATGACTGCTTTACGAGATTTTCTACTGCTCTTTCCAAAAGCAATCTATCAAGGTGGAATCATAAAAGTGGGTCTAATTCGAATGGCGCGATTCACACCGCGGAATAAGACAAAAGATTGTTACGCAGGTCTCTGAGGCGAACATGCTGAAGTGGAGAGGCTAATAAGGGGAGATCCAGACTGCCCTGGCGCCTTCAGGGTACCCTCGAGGGACACTGCAGTTTTATTGGTCGGAACGTTCTTGTAACTCGTCCGTTTTCCTCCTCTACACTTCTGCGCCGACTTCGTCTTCCTCTTCGGCATGGCCGACCAGTGCGTTGCCGTAAAAAAGCCGGTCCCCCTTCCCAGCCCCCTTGTCTTTCCTTCTCCCCGTTCTCTCCCTGTTCTCTCCCCTTCGCCCCTACCTCCGTAGAACGACGAACGAACGACCAACGAAATGTCAACCGTAAACCTCGCGAGGCAACACTAATTAACCCGACCGAAATAAACTGCAGCGCTCCTCTCGCTCGCTCGCCGACCCTCTTCTTTCTTCGTTCACGCGGACAGATTCTACGGTCTCCTCGGTGGAGTCTCGAGAAAAATCTCGGAGCAATCTTGAAACTTTGAATCGTTTAAATCATTCTAAAAGATTACGATCTCCGCGGAAAATACGACGAAAAACTTTAGATTTTGGAGAGAGAAATTTCATACATCTATTTCATTCTGATATTACATTACGTATAAGTACATAATTATCTCACGACTACATTGAATATAAAAAATGAAATGTATCTCATTTTTGACAAAGTCTTGCTTTTTTTCCTTCAGCGAGTGACAGAATAATAGTTGATGGATTGCAT